AAAAACCAAAAATTTATAGACATGATATCCAAGAACACTGGCCAAAAAACCAAACTGAACAACTCTTTTGGTGTTGAAGACACTACCAAGTTTCATATCAATGGTATGAAAATATATTTAGTTAATAATAACAGAAAATTTCCCAAATCTTGGGAAATGTACAGACATCAAAGTAAAGGAGACATTTAGGACCCCAAAGAGGCATGATCAAGATGAAACCCCCACATATAATATTATGGTTAAAATGTCATAAGAAAAGAGCAAGGAAAAAACATTGAAAACTGTAAGAGACAAACACCAAGTTACTTACAGAGACAAACTCATCAGCATGACAGCAGATTTCTGTGAAGAAGCCCCAAAGGCCATGAAGGCATGGAATGATGTATTTCAAGGTATGAAATAAAAATAACTGCCAATTTTCATTGCTATACCCAGTAGTTATCCTTCAAAATGCATAAAGACCTTTCAAAATATGCATAAACTAAAGATAGTCTGTACCATTAAACCATCATTGCCAAAGACATTTAAAGGCATACTAAATATGGAAGAGGAAAAACAGAAGAACTATACTGAGTCACAAATGAGTTAAATATTAGAAATACAAAAAACAATAGCAATTAGCAGTACATTTCTATAAAGACTCCAAGTGTAAATGTCCTCCAATGAGAAGACCTAGACTGGCAGACGGGATTACAACAAGATGCTCTGTGCTGCCTCTAAAATATAGGTGTCACTAGCAAAGATACAGACACACCAAAAGTTAAAGGAAGGAGAATAATGTCCCTTGCACATGGAATCTGAAAACGTGCAGGAGTAGCTACCCTTGTATCTGACAAAGCCAGTTTCTAGATAAAAATCACTCAGATAAGACAAAGAAGGACACTACAGATTGGTAAAGTGAATAATTCGCCAAGTAGATATAACAATTGTCAATATACATGCATGGTACATCAGTATGCTCAAATTCAGAAAACAGACTATAAAGAGAGAAACAAACAAACTGTAAGGAAAACAAACACACTATAAAGAGATACACAGGACAAACAGAAGGATGGGGTGACTTCATGACTGAGAATAGTAGTAGACAAATCTATCAGGCCAGGAAAAACATTAACAAAAAGAATCAGTGATAAACTACACCATAGATCAAATGGACTTAACCAGATGTCAGCAGAGCATTTCATTCCCGAACTACAGAGCAGACCCTCAGCAGCCCATGGACTTTCCCCCAAATAGGTAATATTCTAGACCACAAACAAGTTGTACTAAATATGGAAAAAGCTGAAACAACTTCCTGCATCTTATCTGATCAAATTCCATTGAAACTAGATAACAACAGTAAGAGCAACTACAGAATCCATACCAACTCAGGGAGATGAAACAATCTATTTTTGAGCAGTCAGTTGAAAAAAATCAGAGAAGAAATTAAAAATGTCCTTGAATCAGATGAATGTAAATAATTTTATAGCTATGGGCTTCTACATCAAAAAGATTAGAAAGAACACAAATATATTAATCATGAACCAAACAACAAAAAAGGAAACTATAGGCAGATATCCTCAGTGAATACAGATACCAAAATCTCTAACAAAATACCTACAAAATTCATTCCAGGGACGCAAGTATTGTTCAACATATGCAAGTAAATAAACATAATATACCACATAAATAGAATCAAGTATAAAAGTCACATGATCATCTCAGTTGATGCAGAAAAAGCCTTCAACAAAATTTAACTTCTCATCGTGATGAAATCCCTGAAGATATTTATTGTCTTGGTTACTTTTCTCTCATTACTGGGACAAAACACCCAACACTCAAGATGAAGGAAGGAAAGGTTTACTTAGCTCTCTGTTTGTGGAGGTTTCAGTCCGTAATCAGCAGGCTCCGAGGTATAGTGACATGGCACAGGGGCAACACTTCAAGAACGCAGCCAGAGAAAAAAAGGTGGAAACAAGCCTTTTCTTCTCACTTATGGTGTGCACTGCCCCCCACCCGGTGCCCACCAGGGTGGGTGTAGCACTGGCAAAATCTCTGTGCCCTCCCTTTGCACAGGATCAGGATATTTACAAAGTAAGGATCCTGGCTCCCTGCTAGGTCTCTCAGTTACTTTTAAACTTCTCAAGTTGACAGTGTATCAACCATAACACTAGTTTTTGAAGGATCATGCTTCAGTAGACTAAAAACTATGACAAACCAACATCCAACATCAATGTGACAAATATTCATTGTCCTCATCATGTGGAATCTATAAAAGGTGCCATGAAAGTAGAAGAGAGACTATTATTGGACAGGAGAAAAAGACTAAGGGGTGGTGGATACAGAGGTAAGGAAAGATAACAAATGGAATGGTTATGATCAGAATATAACTTTCAAACCCAATATTTTGTGGAATTATTAAGGACTAATAATAAATAGAAAAAAGACTCAGAAACTAAAAAAATTTAGTTATCATTAGATTTTCTCAGCTGTAGTGCTTTGACCCTGAACTGTGCTCAAAGCCTCTGGTAGATGATACTTTCAGGAGGGAACTGAACCCTGGGTGTGGCGTAGCTCACTTGGTGCTGGGAGCTGTGGTCTGCTTGCTGGGTTGTTGGAGGTGGGGCCTCCTTCCCTTCCTCCTTCCTGGTCAGCATGAGAGACCCTTGTCCCCTGCTCTCCATTCCCCCGCCCTTCTGCCCTGGAGCCAGTCAATCAATCATGGACTGCAGATGTGAGCCAAAATAAAATTCTCTACCTAAGCCACGGGCATCAGTCCTTGTACCCTACCAGAGATGAAAGTTCATGAAGCTGTTGGTGGTGCAACATTCTTAAAATAATTTCAGTTTTTACGGTCTCCCTTATTCCCACGACACCAGCATGTCTAGCAACTTTCAGTTAGGATGTGTAGGCAATAACTATTACATTGTCACTGCTGTTTGGCCAGCAGTAAATGAAACGTACCAATTTTTAAAGCATCAAAACATGAAAACACAAAGCACACCTTAAAATGGACAAAACATCACATAATTGGCACTAGAATAGTTCATACCAATGAATAAACACGAATTAGTATTCTTATTTTGAAAACATGAGTAAAATGAAAAGCAGGAATTCGATGATTCCTCTGTTGGAAAGAAAGATGATACATTCATCTGGAAGGTGGTTTTTGACCATAGTAGACACAGCCTAACCATACGATCCAGTGCTTATGCTCCTGGGCATTTAAGGAAACAAGCTGAAAATTTGTGTTCAGAAAAGACCAAAGGACCACACAAGAAGTTCACAGCAGCTTTATTTGCAATTGCTAACAGTTGGAAGCGAGTATGTCAGTAAGAAAATGGAAAAATAAACCGGAGAGTATCCAGACAATGGAATGTTGTTCAGCAACCGAAAGAAATGGGCTGTTAAGCCATAAATTAAGTGGAAACCTAAATGCATATTACCAAGAAAAAGAAGTCAATGTAAGCATATATACTATATGATTATAGATGTGATATTCTGGAAAGTAAAAAGCAGTGAGAAAACCCAGAGTGTCCAGGTGTGAGGGTAGATGAGCAGTGAGCAGAGTGTCCCGCGAACACTGCCACTGTTCTGCGCAAATCTTGTGGGTGCCTGCTCTCATATCCATTCATCCAGACTCATCACAGTCACATCAAAAGTAAGCACGAATCAGTCTACCGACTTCGCTCAACTCCGTCTGGCACGTTTCTGAATGTGTTAGTAAGATCAACTCCTTTTTCCTTGGAATGTAGTGAATTACATTGCATTTTTAGGATTGCTGTTGATTAGATTGCCCTTGATATAACCCTTATTTCATCATTAGGTAATTATTTAAATAACACTGCCGTTTTGTCTAATATTCGCTTTGATATTTGGGCATTTATCTTAGTGAGGAAGGTGTGAACTTATGTTTTTCTTTTTTCTCTTTGGTATCAGGGATCAAACTCACAACCTCACACTTGCCAGGCAGATGCTTATGCTGCTGAGCTAAATTCCCGTGTTTTTCTTTTTTATTAAACATTTTAACAGTTTTAAGTTTCAGAAAAGTTGAGTAGAAAACAGAGAAAATTCTTGTATTCTCTCTCACCTAATATTCGCTTATTTCAACATCTTGCCTTAGCATATTACATTTGCTGCAATTGTTGAACCAACACAGATGTCACTACTAGGGAGTGTAGCTCACACCGGTGTTGACCGTGTTGTACTTTTGTGAGTTTCTGCAAATGTATCAATGACCTGTGTCCACCATCCGGGCGTGCACAGCCTATGCCCCCTCTGCATTCCCTAAACTTCACTGATAACTTACTCTCTTTGTCGCTGAATAATGTTGCATTGTCTGAATAAACCCCAGTTCGTCCATGAATTCCACTCACGAAACACACGGACTGTGTTTTTATGTATTACTCCTCACCTATTACTCCTCACCTAGAATGTCAGTTGCACTCGAATCATAAAATTATTTTCTTTTTATTTTTTTTCTGGATAACATACAAAATTGAAATTATTGGTACAAAATTGGAAGGAGTGTCTTTTTAAAATGTGCAGTTCTTAGACTGTCAGCATCTAGTCTGATGACAGAAGTCAGCATAAAGGAGCAGAAAGGAGGTAAAAAGAAGGGTTATTAGGGCTGGGGATTTAGCTCAGCCACATAAGTGCCTGTCTTGCAAGCGCACAGTGGGTTTAGCTCTCTGGATGATAGAAACCTCCACCAGGAGAATAATGTGAAAATTGCTAATGGGATGTTAGCCAAGCTTGCAGGAAGCTGGCTGTGCTCCGGATGCCTCCGCCTGGATAGACTCAGCGCCTATGCCTGGATGGGCTCAGCCTCCATTCTAAGACAGGTTCAGCCGTCCAGGAAATGCCCACTGGGAAGCCCACCAGACCCCAGAAAGCAGCTGCGGTGCTGCAGGATTTTCTGGGAAAATGCTTGCTGGGCCCGCTGTCAGCCTCCCTGCAGGGCTTGCTAAGGACCCTGGTAGTTCCCCTGGGAAGCTACCTGGGAGGCTTCCGGAACTCACCAGAAGGTCCTCTGAAGCATGCTGGGTGGCCTGTGCCCCTCACAAGACCAGGTGCTGCTGGAGCCAGAGAGGAAAGGGCAGAAGAAAGAGAGGAGCTGCTCCCCCTCCAAAGAGAAATGTCCAGAGGGTCCAGCTGCCAGTCTGTCACAGGCAGAGAGAGATTTTTGATTACCTCGCCAACCTGTGTTAATGTTCGGCTACTGATCACGTTTAAAGTTTTCTTATTCTAATTTCGGTCTTTAATCTTTATACAAGAATTTGTGCGTTGCAAGTGGGCTGTCAATTCTTTGGTGGAAGAGCTTTCTACATATTATTTTAGAAATAACATGAAGTATTTTTGAAAATCTGATTTATAGGATGTTTTTCCTCACGTGCCTTTTACTGCAGAGGTTGTCTCTGTTCACCAAACTTCCTGCATTCCGGACATTGTTGGTTACAGTGAAACTGATGAGAGGCCCGCAGTGACTTGCACCCAGGCCTCTGCCCTGAAGAGCAGCTGCTCCCCATCTTTCTTCTGTAACAGCTGCTATGAACCCCGGATCCAGCCCAGCTAGTAAAAGCACAGTGTGTACCTCAATCTCCGTTTCTGAGTAGCCTCATGATCTTGAGAAAATAGCATAATTTTTTTGGTGTTGCTTTACTCGCCTGTAAAATAAGAATGAATATTTTCCATATCCCTAAAGATTAATTTGTTTTCATGTGATTCTTTTCCTTGAGTTTCTTCTCTTGTTTACTTTCTGGCATTCTAGGGAATATTTGTCTCACACTTTTATTAATTTATAGGCTTCTGATGAATAGTTTTAGGGTATGTAAGTCCCTCAAATTTCTTCTTGAACTATTTCACAGGACTTCTGAGGTCTCACTTACGCTTTCCTTCTGCCAGAAGTCGTTACTTTTACCAACAAGTTTCTTTAACCAGGCATTGTGTATTTGCGTGCTCCTTTAGTTGATAGATATGTGAGCTAACATTCAGGGTTTTTTGTTTATTTGCTCTGGGGTTTGAACTCATGACCTCAGTGCCAGGTAAGCACTTAAGCCACTGAGCTAAATCCCCAGCCCCTACCATTGGGTTTTGATTTCTAATCTTATTAAATAATAGTTGGGCAATCTAAGAGACTGCTTCTTTGTAATTTATCAGGGCTTTTTGTGACTCAGCCCTTGAGTTGGGTGGATATTTTACCTATGCTTGGAAAAGAAAAAATATGTTCACTGGGTATAAAACTGTTTATGTATCTTTATATTCTCAGATATTAATTATCATATTACTCAAAACTTGTTACTTTGAATTACCCGTTTTTTATTCAAATTCTTAAAGACTGAAGTCTTACTATGACTTTGTTACTTCTTATTGTCAGTTGCTGTCAGAGATTATATATACATTTTTATGTGCTAATATATTTATTATATTATTTCAATACTTTTGTTCTTTTTTATGGATCCACATATAAGGCTGCCATCTATGTCTAATGATTTTCTACTTTAAATTTTATTTAGCTGGAAATTAACATGGCTAACCACATCAGTTTCAGTCACATTGCCTGATAAATCACTTCCCACCTTTTTCTTTTGCATTGTAAGTGTATTTAATGTTGCATAGGTTATGAATTCATGGGAAAAGAACACATACGTAACTGCTATGAACTGCTTATTTGTCACTGTAGAGATCCCTGATTCCTCTGACGAGGCTACGGAGTTTAGAGACAGCGAAGTCACTAAGCAGCTCACAGCAGCAGCCCCCTCGTCCTGCCTGCTGACCTTTCATTCCTCCTTTCTACCTGGTGCACTGCAGCCAGACATGCTTTTCAGGAAGACTTTGGCCTTCCATGATTGAGTAAAATGCTAAATTTTTATTGCAACACTATCTTTTTAAGTTTAGGCTTACAGTGCAATTCCAGAGGAGCTTACACTAGAATCATCTTGCTTTAGTTTATGAGGACAATTTTCTTCTTGGTTCCTGAACTGAATTCAGCATCAGGGGAGGCCAAATCCTTACTGGTGTGGGGCTGTGTCCTTGGACGGCACCTTTACTCTCCGCTATGCTGAGTTTTCTGATGAATGTTCCCTTCTTCAGAACATCTCCTGGGAATAATTCATGACCCGGATGCTTCTCACCATTAGTAAAGCTTTATTAACACCACACTGATTTGCTGTTTTCCATTGACATCATAGCTTGCTGAGACGCGCGGAGCTCTTAAGTGTGTTCTGCGTTAATCAGTAATGCAGGGCTTTGAGCTGGAGCTGGAGCATGTGGCTCCCACGTTAGTGCAGCAGGGAAAGATGGGCAGCACGTGTTCCTCGGGGTCAGGCTTGCAAATGCCCGCATGGCTGCTGATTAACTGGCCTAATTCAGAGCTCAGATTGCACCAGCTGAGCTGGATGGAAGGCTAGAGGATGGCTTTTTCCTGCAGGCAGGCAGGAAGATGGTGCTGAAGAGCTGTTAAAATATCCAGTTGGAACCTTTTGTTTTTGATTGCCATATTTGCCTCAGTCAAGCTTACTTCAAATTTTATTTAATTCTAAAATCTTATTTCAAGCTTTCTGTTTATAATATTTTTTTATTCAGCTCTTTTACTTATTTTCATAGAATTTTTTCTGAGTATTTGGGAGTTCTATGTCCTATTTTAATTTTGTTAGTTACCCTTAATTTACAGGTTCTAGAGTTGTTCATTTTTCCTAATCAGTTGCTTGAGCTTATCAATCTTGTATTCCCTTGCAGTAAAGCTTTCCCTCATTTCTATTGATCTTTTTCTTGGGCTTTTTACATTACCATGTAGTTGTCACTTACATTTTGAAGGGATCATTCATTATATACTTCCTACATCCTACTACTTTTGTCACCTAACTTCTGAAATACTAATCCTTTCACAAGGGCTCTAGCTGAGGTAAAAATTTTAAGGCATTTATTAATGAATATGTTAATTTCTTCCTATTTAAATTATAGTTTAACTAGTTATCATAATATATATTTGTGCCTGTTTTCCTTTAACACTTGGTTACTTCATTTCTGTCTACCTACCTGTATACAATTTTTTAAATTTTTGAGACAGCATCTCTGTATGGAGTTCAGGCTGGTCTGAACTCATTATATAGCCCAAGCTGGCCTTGAACTCATAGTGACCCATCTGGCTCAACCCCTCGTGTGCTCAGAGTGTGCCCCCAGGCCCAGCTTCACCCCCATGTCAGATCTGGGCAGTATTTCACACTTACACTCAAGTGTCCTGCCTTCACTAAGGTAAGTTTTTCTTCTTCATTTATGGTTAATTTTCATATTTTTATAGCTTTTACTTTGCTAATCCCCGTAAGCCAATATAATTCAATTCTTATGTATTTAATTTTGAGATATTTGTAACCATTACTTACTTAAGTATTCACTACTTTTCAGTTATTTTCCTCTGACTTTAGAATGCCTGTGAATTGGCCTGAATTTGCCATCTGATTTTAGGGTGCCTATTAATATTTCTTTAGGGCTTTATCCTGAATGAGTATTGGATTTTGTTGAAAGCTTTAAAAAAAAATCTATTGAGATGATTGTGAGAATTTTATCTTTGACTCTGTTGATATGATGTATTATATTTATTGATCTACATGTATCAAACCATCCCTGTATTCCTGGGATGAATCCTACTTGATCATGGAGTATAATCTTCTTGATGATTTGCTGCATTTTGTTTGTAAGTATCCTACTGAGCATTTTTGCATCTATGCTCATTAGGGAGATTGACCTGTAGTTCTCTTTTTCAATTGAGTCTTTCTCTAAGATTCCATCTCACCCCAGAAAGAATGGTTGTCATCAAGAATTTAACAGATAACAAATGCTGGAGGGGATGTAGGGAAAAAGGAACCCTTCTCACTGTTGATGGAACTTAAGACTAGTGCAACCACTGTGCAAATCAGTATGAAGATTTCTGAAAAAGCTAGAATTAAACGTCCCATTCGATCCAGCTATTCCCCTTCTGGGTATCTTCCCAGAAGAATTAAAAACATCCTACCACAGTGATATAAGCACATTCATATTGATAGCAGCACAATTTGTAACTGTTAAATCTTGGAAACAACACAAATGCTAATCACCGGAGGAGTGGATAAAAAAGAGAGCACTATTCAACCATAAATATGGATAAATGTGAAGCTTTTATAAGTAGATAGATGCAACTTGATACCATACTCATAAGTGAAATAAACCAGACTCACATGTGTAAACATTGTGTGGTCTTCCTCATGTAAGAAACTGAAAGAGTAAAGTCTAAAACACACAATGGATGTTTTAAAATGGGAAAAAATTGTTCAAAAGGAAAAAGGAACTAGGATGGGTGAAAAGGGAAAGGACAGAAATACAAAGAGAAAAAATGCAAGTTACTTACATTATTAGTGTCTCTTAGTTCATTGAAAAGGAAGAATTGTGCTAATTTTTCTATATGTTTTGCTCTGAATAACTATTGCCCTATTATTTTGTTATGAAATTTTATTTTACTTTTTTGATAAAATAAAAAGTTCTTACCAAAAAAATGATAAGAACATTGACAAAATGGCATACGGCAGGCAGGTTAGGTAAAAGCCTCACCAGAATTAACTTAGGAAGTTATAGCTGTACCATGTTGTTCTGGTGTATTCATGGATAAAGGACCATGACACATGACATATGGAAGTTGAAAATGTTTTTAAAGTGTGTCCTTATACTTACAGTTTCAAAATTTTCTAGGAACAAAATTAACCCTTGTTACATCTAAGTTGTATTTCCCCACTCTATTTTCACTGCTCCAAAGCATCCCCAAAGCAGATATTTTTATTAAAACAGTGTGAAAAATGAATTGTATAAAAAAATTTAAAAATGTTTCCTCTTCTGTCCTTTACGTTGTTTAGTTGTTATTTTCTCTCACTACGATGCTGTATTTTTACTTCTCTGAATTGCTGAGACTAGATTTTTCAGGTTTTTGATGGCATATTTTACATTGCTCAATCTTTTCAGCTCTGTATTTCAACAACTTCATTATGTCACTTGCCTTCAAATAATTTCTTAGCGTGGCTCTTTTTCATAATTACTTATTTCTCATTGTCTTCTCTTCCCTCAAAAATTTTAATGTGAATATTTACAATTTTCTTCCTCCTCTGTCCATTTGTGCTGCTTCACTAAGTACAAGTTTGGT